AAACTGACCACAGAGATAAAGAGAAAGTCTACAAATGGTCACAAAAAGACATGAACTGAACACAAATATAAAAGAAACACCCTTCAAATCTCTTTAAAGTCCAGATGAAGGTCACAAAATGACTAAAATCACATCAAATGTGTACTAATAGTGATAAAAATACTACAAAAAGACCTGACATGATGGCAAAAGTACACAAACATCAACAAATGCTCACAAATAAACACAAAAAATTAGTTGATGACCAAAAAGACACAAAGATAACACCAAAAGAACCTATAACATCTCAAACACTGTTGTAAAATGACCCTAAAATAGACAAACTGATTAGTTTTTAACCTGCACCAGTATGATGTTCTGGTTGGAGGTCATTAACCACAGAAGACTCTGTCATGGTGCGTGATACGAGCTAAACTCCCACAACGCTCTCTACTTGTAAACTTGAACAGATTGGAGGCAGTTTTTCATTGACACACAGCACAGATATTCAGTCATCAATTACACACACTTCATTGATTTATTTATTTATAGTTACAGCTGCATTGCTTTTAAAACTGTGCATTGGCCGGGAATCGAACCCGGGCCTCCCGCGTGGCAGGCGAGAATTCTACCACTGAACCACCAATGCTGGATGAACAGCAGGAAATACCATATTTGGAAAAAACGTCACGCGAGCTCTTTAATGAAGCAGAAAAGTCTTAAAAATGTTTTCTGACCATTAAGATCAGCTCGTCTCTACTTTACCACCTGTGCTCGGTCGACTAATCACTGCTGGTTTCATCAAATTACAGAAATGTTTGTGTGTCTTTGAGCTAAAGAACAAACGTATTCGTCCATTTTTGCCACTTAGATAAACATCACATCACGTTTCATGAAAAGCAGCTCATTAACAGGCTTCATGCTCTTTTGTTGCTGCCGTGTTCTAACCTGTAGCCTGAAGCTGACACGTTCTCATTCTGAGACCATCAGCATCGTGTTGGAGGCTTCAGTCCTGAACCTCTGCAGTGACATGATGTTGTGTTCCTGCTGCAGGCGAGCTCTGGCCATGGATGGAACCTGTACAGGAGAACACGGGGTGGGTTTAGGAAAGAGAACGCTGCTCCGAGAGGAGGTCGGACCTTCGGTGATCCGGGTCATGCAGAGCCTGAAGGACGCCCTCGACCCCAAGAACCTGATGAATCCTGACAAAGTCCTGCAGCAGGAGGCCAATCTGAGGGATTAAAGCAGGAACTGAGACAAACCGGAGGAGCTGAAACACACTCGAGTGAAAACTAACCACGTATCGCAAAGCCCTGATTCAGAAATTCAGTTAAATCAAGAAAACACGCAGGTTTGACCAGTGTTTAATGGATTGTCGCTACAGCTGTGTCCCAGAAACCCCACCAGTGGTCCACTGCTGTCAGCTTAGTTTTTCACTTTTGGGACTCAAAACTAAGTTCTGTAAAAATGTTTCTGGATGAATTTTGAGAATGTTGTGTTTACAGAACTGGAAATGTTTGTATTTTCACCCTCAAAAAAAGCCCCTGAAGCCGTTTTCATGGTTCAATATCTCCAGAAATAAAACTCCAGCCGCCACGAAATGTGGTGAAAACACAGACAGAATAGTTTCCATCAGATCAGGACGACTGAACGGATCCAGCAGAGGACACGGTTTTAATTATTGGTTCTTGAAAATGGAAAAAAAGGGAAAAATGTAGAAATATGGATGGATCCATGGTTCTACTAGAATCCAGTCTTTGGTCACATTTCACCAACTGTTGAGGTTCTAACATCAGCAGAACCTGATGTGAAGTTTGATAAGGATCCAGTTTCCAAAAAATAGTGTAATTATCCTACAGGACTCAAAACGTGTCCAAAAATTACACAAAATGTCCTGAAAAAGGACCTTATTTGTCCAAAGATTGACAGAAAATGATCCAATATTTGTCCAAAACTGACATTAAATTGTCCTGAACAGCTTAGAATTGTTTACAATTACTAAAAATTGGCCCCCAATTACTTAAAATCGTCCAAATAAACAATAATGAATAATCATTGGCCACTGAAAATGGAAAACCATCCAAAATTTCCAGTTCAGGCTGGTACAGAAAGCTCCTGTCAGTGTCTATCTATGGATGGATCCATGGTTCTACTAGAATCCAGTCTCTGGTCACATTTCACCCCCTTTTGAGGTTCTTACATCAGTAGAACCTGATGAGGTGAAGCTGGACCAGACGAGGTTCCAGGTTTTAGATGTTTTGACTTGAAGCCGGTTTAAAATGACTCAAAATTGTCCAAAATTTCTTGCAATTGTCCGAAACGATTTGCAACATCTTCAAAAGCGATTCAAAATCCTCCAAAAATGATTCACTAACGATGTCTGAAACAACTCAAAATAATCCTCAAATTACTCAAAATTATATAAAATTAGTCTAAAATGACTTGTAATTGTCCAGAATCTGCCCAAAACTACGAAAAGTGGTCCAAATTCACAATAATGAAGCATAGTTGGTCCTTGGAAATGGATTAAAAGGACTTTAATGTCCAACCAGGCTGGTGTTGATCCATAAAGTTCCTGTCAGTGTCTATCTATGGATGGATCCATGGTTCTACTAGAATCCAGTCTCTGGTCACATTTCACCAACTGTTGAGG